TGACTGTCCTCAGGCCGTAGTCCGGTGGGTTATATTTGGACACATGGGCAGTACCTGTCTTCCAGGCTTTGAAGTGTTGGCCCACAGAGTCACTGAAGTCAGGACTACTGCATCCCTCATAATGAGCAGACCTGTAATAGGATTTCACTGCAGTGCTGCTTTATTTTGTAGAGAAACCTTTTTAGAAAGAGGGGGCATGCAAACCCAAAGAACTAGGACAAAGCAGCTCTGGAGTATTAAACCTTATGTCAATAGAAAAATATCTGATTCTGCTTTTTAAGAAAAACTGCCCCCATTTTCTCTTTTATTATGTTAAAGACATACTCTGGTAGACTCTTCATCAAAAGCAGATTATTTTATTTTATTATTTATTTATTTCTGAGGTGGAGTTTCACTGTCACCCAGGCTGGAGTGCAGTGGCGTGAGCTCGGCTCACTGTAACCTCCTCTTCCTGGGTTCAAGCAATTCTCCTGCCTCAGCCTCCCAAGTAGCTGGGACTACAGGTCTGCGCCTGTAATTTTTTTAAAATAATTTTTTGTATTTTTAGTAGAGATGGGCTTTCACCATGTTGGCCAGGCTGGTCTCGAACTCCTGACCTCAGGGGATCGTCCTGCCTCAGCCTCCCAAAGTGCTGGGATTACGGGCAGGAGCCACCGGACCCGGCCAAAAGCAGATTATTTTATATTGACATTGTACTCTTCCCACACCTGGAGGACAAAGCCCTGCGAAGCAGCAGGTGAGCGAGTTGTGCACATGGCTGCACACACATGCATGCCCCTGGCTGTTGGACGTCGCACAGCATCCTGGCACAGGCTGGTAGAAGATCAGCACCCAGGGTGTTGTAGGCCGCTGCTCCCACTGTGGCCTCCACGGTGCTCCCGGTGGCTTGTCCCAGCTCTTGCAGCCGGAGCACCTGCTAGCCAGGAAAGCCATCGGGAGCACCTGGCTACTTTTAGCGTCAGAGCTTTTCTTCCTTCTCTTTTGTGCAAGCCATTATGTGGTACCAAATACTATATGTTTAATACCTGCATGGTACTTCTCCGGCATGGTCTCTGCTGCTTCATGGTTAAATATTCGTTTTTTCTGGTATTGTGCAACTTTGGGTTTGCTGTAGAATCCCAGGCTACAGATGAGTCTTAGAATGCAGTGCGTCTTCTCACCGGGGGAGCGGAGCCCCAGGAGAAGTGTAGTCATCTGCCCAAGCTTGCAGCACTACTTAGTGGCAGAGCTATGACTGGAGTACAGGATTCTGAGTCTTCAGCCCATCAGACTAAGGCATTTTGTAATTTGGGTCCCATCTTTGCCTTAGTTTCTGTGAAGACCTATGAGTAGGTGATAAAGGGGTATGGCAGAGGGCCCTGAGAAGTGATAATTTTTCATTAATGACTCCTCTTTTTTCTTGAAGCTGTTTGTTCCTCCTCTTTCACGGAGGCAGGGTGTGGACCTCACTTTCCAGGGCTTTTCATAAACACGTGTCATGGGTATACATGCCCCTTTTCCACTAGTTATTTCTAAACGGTAGCCCCGTGTATCGAGGTGGAATATCTTGCATAGGAAATACTGAGCTCCATTGCATCAAAAAGCTGGTATATTTTTTGGTGTGAGCGAATGTGATTGTATATAGAGATTAGTTTAGGTCTTTGCATTTGGAAAGATACAGCCATTCCTCACTTGAGATGGAAACTAAATTAGATAATAAATACCAGGCCACCCAAACAAACGAACGAATGGGAAAAAGGAAATGGTTAAACAAAAAGTGTATCTTGATGTACGTTTTTCATATCCTCTTATTTGCTTTCACAAGCACACTTCCAACCAGAGTCCCTGTCTTTCGCCCTGGAGCTGACCAGAGTCAGAGAGCACAAAGGTGGTGGCCAGCCAACCAGCGTATCACCGGTCAGGGTAACTGTCAATGATTGTCGAACTACACAGATCCCAGTGTGTGTTTAAAAAGGCCAGCGTTCTTGTCACACACCTCTGGACGGCAGCTGTCTACTTCTCTCTGGTGCTTGGTAAGGAGTCTGTTGAGGCCATTCAGCAGAATACCCTGTTCTTCCAGGTCAGTCCTCCAGCTTGGCCTTTATGACCCCAGTATTTTCTGCTTCTGATCCTGTCGAGTTACAGCCACCACTGTCACGCTGTAAGTGGGCTTCAAACCGTTTGGTGCGTAACACACAAGGCAGTGTTACTTTAAAGTTAATGAACAAGATTGGAGGCTGGGTAGAGGAGCAAAGTCAGTTGTGTTATATCCAGATCGACGTTCCTTCGCAGAGTTCTTTATTGTGAAGTTTTGTTCAGCAAAGCTAGTCCTATAGTGGATGAAGATGTCAGTGAATCCATTAAATACCAGCTTTGGAGTCAGCGGTACCACCTTGAAGCCGTGTAGCAGTGGGCGAGCCGCTTGCCCTCTCGGAGGCTCACTGCCTCTTTGGGGATAAGGGGAGCTGGCCGGGGTGAAGGCACTCTGGGCTGTGTCCGGTGTCATGCTGAGGCCTGCGATGCAGGTGTACCTGGTCACGTCTGAGAGGAGAAAAATTGGAATTTACTTTCTTGTGTCTTTCCTTCTGTCCTTGGAACCTGCAGAATTGCCCTCAGACTTAAAAGTTGTCCTTAGTTTGGACTGGTGTTGGGACAGTTGTTTAAATATGCTTTGTCCTGTTTGGAGTTTTACAAACTTACACTATCAGGGAACCCTGTTTGTTCATTTCTTTTCTTTGCCAGTGGAAAATTGCTGTTTGAGAGATGATTCAGAGAATTGAGTAATAATCAATCTACAAAAGCATTTATGCTGGCTGACTGCTGAAGAATAGGCATTTGCTTCTAGTTGAAATCACTTATTCATAGAGATTAACCTGTTTGACCAGGAGATGAAAAAAATGTTGCTAGCCTTTTTAGTCTTCGAATTCCTATGGGTCAGTAATAACTGCAGGTCAGTTTTACCTTAGACAGGGACAACTATTGTTTCTAAGATACATTTTGAGACATAGAGATAAAATATTTATTTATGCCTGTTGCCTAAATAACCTTGGGGGAAAAGTCCAGCGGGTCGAGTTTGCCTTTTGGAGGAGGGGAAGCCGTTGGTGCCCAATGCTTTGGAAAGAGCACTTCATGTTTTATGCTGCTTTTAATCTCAATCATTCGAGTACTTGCTGCTTTTAAAAAAACAAACAGAACCAGTAATGACATGGGTATGAGAAATTGCTACAGTGATCGCTGCATATTTTATGGCAAAACGTTGCAGTATTTCTTCTATTGAGAAAGTAGAACCTATTTGGGGTTGAAATGATCAAACCCAGATGCTTTCCTAAAATTATATTTTTGGTGCATTTATATGTCTGTTACAAAGTGTGCTACATGCTAAAAATATTTTCCTTTGTAGGCCGAGGGGAGTTTCAAACCGCACTGAGGGGCATGTAGCTCAGACGGTTTTCCTAAGGGTGTCACCAGCATCCTGCTGTTATTAGCCTCCACTTCGCCATAGGACATTATTTATGCCAGAAGGCTTCACAATTCAGTTCTTCTTTAATTTCAGCAACTTTATTGGCACGAAAATGCATGGAAGGGAGGCCAAAGTCAATACATCAGAATTTGGGACTCAGACTCCAGGGCAACAGGCGATAATAGGATTCGGCTGGAGATAGCCCCTCCACTCCGGGGTCTGTTTCCCTGGGACGGAGACGCTGCCTCCCACATCAGGCAGCGTCTCTTGCCTTTTGTCCAAGCGCTTCCTCTTGTTTTTCTCTGCTGTCTCCTCCTTCTCCCCAGCCACGCATGCTGCCATTTTCCACATTCCACGCAGCCAGGCAGAGACGTACTTCTCCTTAAGACGCTTCTGGATTCTGTTTATTGCAAAGGCAGTTGCTCTACAATTCTCTCTGGTTATTCCTCCTCAAATTGTATTTCCTAGTCACTGCCATTGGTTTTATAATTGAGGGACATCTGCCTGGGTTTTGCATAAATGCCTCTAGTCAATTAAGCTGCAAATGGGTAAATCTAGGAATATGTAGATCGTCTAACTCTCTATAGAACTGTAGTTTTTAACTTAATCCTTCCCTTCATTCCTTCCCCTCACCTCCCTGCCCCTAGTTGACTAGAGTATCCTATTTAGAACATCCAGAATGAGCAGAAAAGGCTGTATACTAAGTGTATTACTCCACATAATAGCGATTTACTTATCCCCGTCACAACTCCATAGAGACGTTGTTATTATACCCATTTTACAGAGGAAGAAACTGAAAACCAAATCTGTCTGACTTAAAAGCCTTCATCCTTAATTACTATACTGGTTTTAAATGCATGTAGCTCTGGTTAGGATTATAGCTATTTTTGCATCTAGCACCTGACCATGGTGGTATCTTCAGAGAGCAACGTAGAAATATCAAATTTCAGTCTGGGTATGGTGGCTCATGCCTGTAATCCCAGCACTTGGGGAGGCCGAGGCGGGTGGATCACCTGAGTTCAGGAGTTCGAGACCAGCCTGACCAACATGGTGAAACCTTGTCTCTACTAAAAATACAAAATTAGCTGGGCATGGTGGTGTGCACCTGTAATCCCAGCTACTCGGGAGGCTGAGGCAGGAGAATTGTTTGAACCCAGGAGGTGGAGGTTGCAGTGACCTGAGATCACGCCAGTGCACTGTAGCCCGGGCAGCAGAGTGAAACTCCATTTCAAAAAAAGAAAAAAAGAACTATCAAATTTCACTTTGTGATATTCTCGTAACAACAGTCAGCTTACTGTTTTGAATGCGACAGGACCAGAAATGAAGTTATTTCCTTTATAATAAGACATACGAGAAACAGAACTTCTTTCTCACGTGCATTGGTTGTCGCTGGAAGGGACACACACGTGTTTGTGGAGCTCAGATGTGCTGTGTCTTTGCGGGCTCCGGACAAGGGCGTTGTCAGGCCAGGCTTTATTATGACGTCACAACTCAGTTATTTTGATACCTTTGAAAATTTATTTAGGTTCAGAATACTTGACAGGCTTTTGTTTCTGAGGGGAAAGGGGAAGGGATTTGCGTCTACTGTTCTATTTTGTGCCTTTTGCTGTATGCACCATTTCATTTTATCTTCACCGCAGCATTATTTCTGTTTCATAGCTCAGAGGTTGACATGCACGTCCAAGGCCACAGAGCTTCTTGGTGGCAATGACAGAGTCTAAGTTCCCAACTGTGGATTTCCCATGACACCCTGGCTTTGAACTGAAACAGTTAAGTCACATTTACAGAGTGACCTGTAAAAACAGCAACAGCATATTTGGTTGTCCCTTATCATGATTTCCAGTATCCTTGAACCTTAGAGATCAAGGCAGTGATGGTAAGAAATGCTCTCCTAGAAGGCAGAACAGGCCATAATATTTACATAATAAATTGAAATCCATAATTATAAAAGCATTCAGAAACTCCTAGAAGATAGATTTAATAAGATTCTAACATACCTAATATTAAAATGAATATAAATTAACTGGGTAGGTTCTTAATTCTGCATATTAGGAGGTGTCTAATAAAACTCTAATATTCTTTGTGGTTCTTTTCCAACTAGCATACTGGTGAGCACAAAAGCTGTGTTATGTACAGAACGGCTGGGTTTATCCCTAGTAGAAAGAAGTTATGTTTGGTATCTAAAGAACAATGAGAGTTTGCTGCTTGGCTGATCAGTGCTGGATCAAGTTCACATTCCCCGGCTCCCACTCTCCACCTCCACACGCAGTGGGTGGAAGCAGAACACAGGGAGGGGAGGACAGGTCCTTTTTCATGGAGAGACGTGAGCCTGGGCTTTCCTTATATGGACACAGCTGGGCCTGTGTAGCATTAAACACTGATTTCATCCACCGCTGGAGAAAACATCCTACAAAAAGTGAAGAGATTAGCAGCCAATTAATTCTGGCCCTTCCCATTGTTTTCCTGGAACACCCTCCTTGTATGGCACTGAATGGTGAACAAACATTCTGGAAAATAGCTTTCTCTCATATATTATTTATATTTGGGACAGCCACTCCACCCCCACATGTGGTGGATTTTACTTGCCTGTGTGTGTGTGTGTGTGTGTGTGTGTGTGTGATTTTACTTCTTCATCAAGGGATGGATGACTCAGGCCCATTTCTCTTGTTGCAAATTGTGACTTCACTGGGTTTCTTTTGGAGGCCTTATAACAAGCCACCCAGTCTGAGTGCCATGCTTTTTAAAAATCGACATGCCAGGGCCACAGACTCCCATCATATCCCCTCCTTCAAAGGCACTGTGGAGCACCCACACGTCCGCGTGCCCACACTTCCAGATACCACCTGCTCTATCTTAGGAAATGGCGGGAAGGTGCCTAGACACGGTTGTTTGCTTTTCAAGCTAGTGAAATATCAACATCTGATATTTTTGTGTTTTTCAATAGTAACTAATCCCTTCTGTAAGGCATTTTGCCAGAATACTGTTCCTACAGCAGCAGCGTGTGTGTGTGTGTTCTAACAACGGAGCCCCTGTGGTTCGTGCAGGTGCCCAGGGCTGGAGGAAGTCGGCATGGGTTGCTTCCTGAAGGGAACAATACCTTTTGCACACAGCGAAGGGTCTTTTCCATTGGTGCACCCTGTCCCCTCATTCTAGCCAGCAGTCTTCCAAATGCAAATGTTCATTTCAAGGGAATGGATGACAGCCATCAGCATCATGAGAACATCATCTGCAGATGACGAGTTGGAAATACCACCTTCATGTCTACAGTATTGCAGGTCAGCACTAAGACTGGGCTCCTAAAGATAAGGATGTATGCACTTTTTGCTGAGGACCCAGATTGTATTAGCTTTAGAAAAAAAGTCAGATATCTGCCTGTTGTTGTCTCCCTTCTGGGTAGAATGTAGAAATCTTCCATTTCTTTTTAGTTCTTTTTGTGTGTATGCTTCACTTATCTTGCCCAGAATTTTATCCCTTGGTGTGAGCTGCAGGAAGTGACTCCTGGTTTGGCCCACGAGCCCATCCTCCCAACACTGTGTCTGCCATCTGCCAAACTGGACTTACTGTTGTAGAGCGTAGTGAGTGGCCATCATCTGTGGCACTGACTTTGAAATTTAGATGTCTCCCAGGCATCTGGAGTTTTTTCATAGTAAGCTATTTGAGATGGGGTATCATTAAAATTATCGAAGGCAGTGGTTCTCAGTGCTGCCTGCACATTGGAAGCCTGAGGGGTGGAGGGGCTTTAGCAATGACTGACGCCTGGGTCCTGCTCTCAGAGATGGGAACCTAAGTGGTCACCTGGGCATTGAGATTCGTAAAACACTTGCTGGTGACTCGAATAAGCACCCAAGGGTAGAAACCACTAATCTGAAACCACCTTTACATAATTTTATATTTCACCATGAACTTTTTTGTTTTTTTGAGACAGTCTTGCTCTGTTACCCAGGCTGGAGTGCAGTGGCACAACAGTAGCTCACTGGAGCCTCAAACTCCAGGGCTCAAGCGATACTTCTGCCTCAGCCTCCTGAGTACCTGGGCCTAGAGGCACATGCCACCGTGCCCAGCTAATTTTTTATTTTCATTTTTTGTAGAGACGGGATCTCACTATGTTTCCCAGGATGGTCTTGAACTCCTGGCCTCAAGTGATCCTCCCACCTCAGCCTCCCAAAGTGCTAGCATTATAGGCATGAGCCACCACACAGCTGAAAACTCTTTAAGGTTATAATGTCCATGAATATCAAGCCCTGTAAATAATTGAAGGCATTGAAGGGAATATAATAGTGTCTGCTTTTTAGAATGTATTTTTCAGTAGACTTTTATGGTATGGAATTATATTTTGCAGCCTATGTTTTCATCTGGGGTTGATCTAATCTATATAATGAACAAATATGTTAAAGTGAGACAGTCACACTAGATGTTCTGTAAGCACTCACGCTGGAGTAGAAAGAGTACTCCCCTTCCAACCAGGAGACCTAGGTGCCAAGCGATATGAAATCCCCTGAGACTCAGTTTTTCCACCTTTCAGATGGGACTGTGTGAGGAACGAGCAGAACAGTCTGTATATGGAGGCACGTTGTAAAGCCTTCAGTTCTGTAGGCAATTGCCACTCTTACTCTCTCTAGCAGTCTAAGGTCCTGTGGTCTCTGGTAGGGATGCGTCAGTACTTTTTTTGTCTTAAAGTCACTTCCCTCCAGCTTCTAGTAATGTTGTATTGCTTCTTAATTCTAGTCATTTAGAAGTTGATAAATAGCAACTGCTTCCTGTTCTAAGCAAATTACATGTCATTTGATCAGAACTTTATGAGGAAGGAGGCTTAGAGGGGGCACAGCTACTAGGCAAGCCGGCTGTGTGCTCTTTATACCTTGCTGTATTACTACCTTGTCACAGGAGTTTCCTGAGGAGAGGGACAACGTCTTACTCATCTTTGCATTCACGAAATCTAGTGCTCTGTTTCACAGTAGGCATTTAATATGTTTTTTATGTGAATAACCTGTCTATATGTTCAACTTACATTATTCTCTCCAAATCTAAGCCCCTTTCTTCTGGTTTGGATACCAAGAGATAAAATATTTTGTTGGTTAGCCTTTTTATAATAGTCCTGTGTAGTAATGTTAGTTTGATGATGTCTGTATAGTGTCATGTCTGCATAGTATTATGTTTATTTTTTGACAGTTCTTTTCCTAGAATTTTATAAGTAGAATTATAAGAACAGCCATACATCCTTAACTTCTGTATTTTACTTCTAAACGTTGTTAATGGAGATAAATCTTAGAACTGTAAGATTTTCCCAGATCCTCCCTTCTCCCATCCAAAGAGAAAAAGGAAATTAAAAAACAACAACAACAACAACAAAACAGAATACGTTATTAATTCATACTCTTCCCTGTCCAAAATGGAGTGAAGGCATGTTCCAAAACAGACAAATACAACCTGATAGAAATAAAACAAGAAAAATGAAGCAACAAGAAAATAACGGTAGCAAAAAAGGATGGGGCCAGGAATTAAATTAGCATATAATATGCACACCCTGAGGTTCCTATGCCTGATTAAACAGGGTCACAGAGCTCCAAGCTTTCTAGAAGAGGGAAGAGGGATAAATTGCAGATGCAAGAGGTAAAAACAAACAAGCTGCCTAAGTCCGACTATCCCTGATGCTGACACCAGGGAGATGACTGGCCTGTGGCTCCTCACAGAAAATTACTGTCTAATGGAATAAACAACCCTCTGAATCCATCCTTCCGGTAAACATCGTGATGGATTTTATGGGGCTGTTTCTTATAATGCACCTCAATAAAGGTTGATGGCTTCTTACCAGAACTTAATGCGATAACAGGACTTTCACAGAGTCCATAAGACCAAGTCCAGGGCCAGCTTTAAAATGGTCTGGCTTATTCCAAGAAAGGATTTTAGAGGATCCAGACTACAAGTTTAGGTACAGAAGAATCTGTGAACCTCCTGACAGTTGGGGGATGTGTGTGTGCATGTGTGTGTGCTGTAGGTGTATTTTTTTCTAAGGAGCTGACAGCACCATTAGCCTTCATCAGATTCTCAGAGGGGGTCAAGAAATGGAAGAACTAAGCATTGTACCTGTTCCCTCAGTTGATCTCTGTAAAGGTTTTTAGCAGGAGTGAGCTCAGGTTATAGTTCCTGAGAGAAAGAGGGTCTGTTAGCCGGTTCGCCGCGGAGCCACGGCCTCAGCAATCCACTACGCCAAGCGTGAAACCGACTTCCTTTTTTGAAAATTATGCTTTATAAGGACTTTCACTAAGAGGTCCGTTTGGCAGGGCCAAAATCCTCCTCAAAAAAGAAACAACGGCCGGGCGCGGTGGCTCAAGCCTGTAATCCCAGCACTTTGGGAGGCCGAGATGGGCGGATCACAAGGTCAGGAGATCGAGACCATCCTGGCTAACACGGTGAAACCCCGTCTCTACTAAAAATACAAAAAATTAGCCGGGCGAGGTGGCGGGCGCCTGTAGTCCCAGCTACTCGGGAGGCTGAGGCAAGAGAATGGCGTAAACCCGGGAGGCGGAGCTTGCAGTGAGCTGACATTCAGCCACTGCACTCCCGCCCGGGTGAAAAAAAAAAACCCCGTCTCAAAAAAAAAAAAAAAAAAAAAAAAAGAAACAACAACAACAAAAAACTAGTTGTTTATCTAATACAGAGACAAAATGGGCAAATACAAATAACAGGTAAAAACAAACCAGCTGGTCAAGTCGAACTATTCCTGATGCTGACACCAAGGAGAAGACCGTCCTGTGGCTCTTCATAGAAAATTACTGTCTAATGGAACAAACAACCCTCTAAACATCCTTTATGTAACATCTTTTATATTTTTGGATTAATTTATAATTTTCTAAAATCATCCACAAATATAATATAAAGGATGCTATATTTAAAAATAATAGACGGCCAGGCGTGGTGGCTCACATCTGTAACCCAGCACTTTGGGAGGCCGAGGCGGGTGGATCACCTGAGATCAGAAGTTCGAGATCAGCCTGGCCAACATGGTGAAACCCTGTCTCTACTAAAAGTACAAAAATTAGCTGGGCGTGGTGGTGGGTGCCTGTAATCCCAGCTACTTGGGAGCCTGAGGCGGAAGAATCGCTTGAGCCTGGGAGGTGGAGGTTGCAGTGAGCTGAGATTGCACCACTGCACTCCAGCCTGGGCGACAAGAGCAAGACATTGTCTCAAAAAAAATAAACCAAATTTAAAGATATAAATATTTGGTAACTTCACCCCCATCCTTCTTTATTTTTGAAACTTAATCCAGCCTTGATTTTATTTCTAGACGTGTGTAGATTCTTACTTTTAAATTCACCCTGAACGTATGTTGGCAATAGAACACTTCTGAAACCAGTGGAAGCTTCTGGAACTCTCAACCTTGTTTGGTATTCAAAGATCTTTTGGTTTCTTTTAGTGGATAGTTTTCCCTCCGCGGTGCCTGAGGGAATGTAATTTGCCATCTGCGGCTGTTTGGGACCATGGAAGGAGCCCCCTTGCTTGCCCTTTGGCCTTCCTGGTGCCTAGGAAGGCTGGCTCCTCCTCCCTCTGCCCCGTGCCTCCGCCATGAAGTAGAAGCAGGAAGAGAAGACACACCGGTAACGTGAAGTTGGTGTCACTGTATTTTTCCAGTGATAGGAGGAATTTCTTCCTTGTCTAAGAAAAGGAAGGAAACTGAAGAAAACTGAAAAAGGCTTTCCCTCCAAAAGTAATCTCCAGTCAATCACGAGGTTAAATAATTTTAAAGCAATGGTATTTTCCTCAGCCTCGGACATTGTCTTCAGCTACGATGAACTGCTTTGACAAAAAAAAGTTTCTTAGAACAACTTCCTTTCAAAACATGCGTATCTACTGGATGAGGCATTTTTAAAGATACAATTCAGATAGAAAACATCTGTTTTTAAGAGACAGCTGTAAAGTGCTTTTACTGCATTCTCAAAGGCAGTAATTAGAATGCCCATCCCCCACCACAGAACCCCCGTTTTTAAAAAAGCGGTCCTCCAGTTTCTCTACACCCTGCCTTCATTGGCATCAGCCTGTGAAGAAGGGGAGATTCAGGTAGACAACAGGAGCAATGTGTTCAGGTTGGATTGAACACAATAAAGTATTTTTTCAGTGTCATGCAATATGTAGATCTTTAATTCTAGATTAAATTCAGCTTCTAGCACCATTCTGAATATAATTTTAGTGATTCATATGTGAGGGATTAGGAACCTTTCTCATTTCAATTTTATTAAATTTATTTTTATTGTTATTTACTTACTAATATTTTTTTGAGGCAGGATCTCACTCTGTTGCCCAGGCTGGAGTGCAATGGTGCGATCATGGCTCACCATAGCCTCTGCCTTCTGGGCTCACGTGATCCTCCCACCTCACCCTCCCGGGTAGCTGGTACTGCAGGCTAACACCACCATGCCTGGCTAATTTTTTTTTTTTTGTAGAGACAAGGGTCTTGCTGTGTTGCCCAGGCTGGTGTTGAACTCTTAGGCTCAAGAGCTCCTCCCACCCTGGCCTCCCAAAGTGCTGGGATTACAGGTGTGAGCCACCGTGCACGGCCTGTTTATAAAATTACTCTGGCAATGTAACTAATATCCCATGGTCTTCCTTTTGTAAAAATGTAAAATTCTAGGCTCTTTACAAATTAAGCATTTTAGTGGTGAAACAAACAGGAGTTAATTAGAAGGATCTTCATTTTAAGACTTCTCCCCCTTGAAATTTTAGGTGTCCTTCATTTGTTCCTTTATCCTTCCATTCACTATGTAACATATTTACTGAATTTCTAGTATGTGCCTGGCAGTGTTTCTGGTGGACTGAACAAAAATCAAGAACCAAAGAGACAGGATCTCTTTCTTCTTGGAGCATAAAGTCCAGCTGGGGAGAGGGACGCTCAGTCCAGTTTTAAAAGAGCTCTAATAACTGCACGTCACAGAGTGAGCCCTAATGTAAATTTGACTTTAGTGAATAATAATGTATCAATATTGGTTCCTCAGTTATAATAAATATACTAATGCAATATGTTAATAATGGGGAAGCTGGTGAGTGGGTACAAATACGGGAACTCTGCTTTCTGCTCAGTTTTTCTATAAACTTAAAACTGCTCTAAATATTACTTTAAAGGAAATAAACAGGATGCTATTAGAAAGAATAGTGGAGTGACATAATTTGGATTGGGGAGTAAGGAAAGACCTTTCTGCAAAAGCGCTGCTTAAACCCAGAACTAGAGGATAAGTGGGCTAGCCAGGCAAAGAGATGGAAAAGCATTCTCAGTGAAGCAAAGTGGAATCATTTGAATTACCTTGGGACATACCATTCTGGCTTCTCTGTGGAGGATGGATTCTGGGATGGCAATTGGGAGGAGAGTTGGGGGACAGAGGACAAACAAGGAGACAAGAGTCAATTAGGATGGGTCACAGCTTTTGCTTCCTACTTAACCAAATCCTAGAAGAGCAGAGTGACAGTAAGCTGTTCCCTTTGTTCAGCTCATGCCAGCAACCGTTGGGTTATCCATGATCTGGGTGCTAAGAGGAAAAGGAAACTGTCAGTAGCAGCAAGACAGGGTTTCCAGGTCTTGGTTTCTAAGATCTTTCCAGTGGTTCAGTGGGATTTATAGAATTAAGAACGCGTGTGTGCGTGTGTGACTGCAACCAGTTAAAAATCGCAAGGGGAAAAAACTTTTCAAGTAACTAGTACCTAGCTGTTAACAACAGCTTTCATGTAAGTCTGTAAGTTTGTAAGGTTTCATTTGCAATAGTTGTGTTTATTCCTATTACTGGACTTTTGAAAATCTTTAGCAAATGAGCACACATTTCGTAGCACTTAGCTATTATAATAATGACACAAAATGGTTAACACGTCTATTTATATTACTCTCTAGATTTCAACTTTTTTGTATTCCTGGGAACACAAAGAATCCCTCATTTGAGCAGACTTGTTTGTTTTAGGAAATAGACATGCACCATCCGTGTAATTTTAAGTAGTCCAGTTATGAATATGGAATGAAGGGATAAAATCCTGATGTCTCCATTAAGCTCCTCTGTGTAAAATACTCCATGGCAAAGTTGCTGCTATTTAAAGAAGTGAGTTTGATCTTGGCTTTGATCTAAACCTTTTGATCTTGAAAGAAGGATGGAGTAGCAATAAAGAGGGCAAGACAGATTTCCTTTAAAGAAATGTGATAAACTTAAAGGGATGGTCAAGACCCAGCACGCAGCAGGACAACCCTCTCCGCCCGGCCGCCCGCACAGGCAGGCGGGTTCCAGCCACTGCTGAGGATGACAGGGCCTTTGGCGGGTGGAGGAAAATCTTGGGGTATCGCACATTTTTATAAGCTAAGTGTCAACTTTCTCCCAAATTATGAAAACAGATTGACCCCTCCTTTTTAAATCCTACCCGGTGGTTCTGGGGTCCACCCTGGCGGGAGCGGGGCTGGGTTTCTCTGCGCCCGGCCTCGCCCCCGGGGGGTCCCCTGCGGCTGCCCGGAGCCCCGAGGGGCCACTGGGGAGCGTCTGCCCGACGGCGTGGAGCCCGCTCCGGAGAAAACTCCACTGGGACACTAAGGAAGTTGCCTTCCCTCCGCGAAAGCCACGGGGACCAGGTTTCCGACCCCAGGAGCGCGCCAGGCTGGCCGCGGGCGGGGTTCCTTCCCCGCCACCGCCCCCTCCAGCCTGCGGCGGGCGGCCGGGGCCCCTCTCGCTGCCGGGAAGCCGCTCGCGGGGCGCGGGGCCGGGGGAGGGTGCGCGGGAGCGGGGCGGCCGGAGCCCGGGAGCGGGAGGGGGAGCGGGAGCGGGAGCACGAGGGGGAGCGGGAGCGGGAGCGGGAGCGGGAGCACGAGCGGGAGCGGGCGGGCGCACGCCGGTGGCGGGGAGAACAATACGGCGCCGGCGCGGCGCGGGCGACCTGCGGGAGGCGGCGGCCGCTGTACCTTTAAGGCAGGCCCCGCCCCCGCTCGGCGCCCGCCCGCCCTCCCGCGCCGCCGCCCCGGCCCCGCGCCCGCCGCCCGCGCTGCGCCTGAGGTGATGCGGCCCCGGCCGGGCGCAGGGCGCGGGCTCCGGCGCCCCCGCGGCGTCCTCCCCGGCCGCGGGCGAGGTACGGGGCGGGCGCGCCGAGGTAGCGGGCGCGGGGCCGGGAGGCCGGGGCCGCGCCCGCGGTAAACTTGCCTGTGCTCTCCCCGCAGCCGCTGCAGAGGGAGCGCCGCGCCGGGGCGGAGTGCGGGCTCGCGCGGCAAGTGCGCGCCGAGGTGAGTGCGGGCGGCGCGGCCCCTGCGCCCCGGTGGCGCCGAGCGAGGCCGCGGCTGGCGAGAGGCCCGGGCTCGGGGCTGCGGCGCGGGCGCGGGGACCACCCGCCGGGTCGGGGCTGCGGCGCGGGGAGCGGCCGGGCACGGAGGTCGCGAGTCCCGCGGGCGGGCGCGGGGAAGACCAGGTGGCGGGGCCGGGGGTCTGTGCGTTCTCGCGCTGCGGGGCGGCCGGCAGGACCCCGTCGCGGTGTTTGAAATGCTGTGGTTTTTGAACCTCAGGTCACGAAGTGGATTCGAGAGAACCGGAGACCCCGAAAACGGAAGCGCAGGGCGAGGGAGGCGGTGCTGGAAAAGGTAGGGGCTCCCGAGGCGGTGCTGGGCGCAGGTCTCGGTGAATCCGCTTCTGCCCCGCGAGCACCTGGTCATGACAATAGAGCCGCGCTGACTTTAAAAAGTTTTTGTTACAATGAACCGGGGAAATTCTGCAGAAATATTGGTCGATAAGCCTAATCATCTGCATGTTCTCCTAAAGAGAGAATAACCCGTGAGATTTGTTTCTTGCTCGTTAAATACAGCAGTAGGACTTAAGTGGGTTCCATTATTAGTTTAGAGCAGCGGTGTTTGTTATCTCAGTGTTAAGGTACCTCTGAAAAATGAAGTGTTCCGAATAAGTCGCCCACAGTGTGAGGTTTCCGTGCGGTACGTTCTCTCACCTAGACTTTAAATTGGAGTCATCTAAGAAATGGAGAGAGAAGAAGAAAGAAGTGGATTGCTTTTAAAACACTAGGAGGAATTTTATTTGCTGTAAAGCAAATGAGAAATTTGTTTACCTAAGTTTAGAATCTCAGTATGTTACTTTGCAGAAGTTTGGACTGCCTGTTGTCTGATTTTGTACTAAAACTTGATTTGTCATTGTAATAAATATCATGAAATAAGGTAAGTAGCCCGTTGTTTTCCAAGTGACTTGCCGAAAACTCGTAAAAGTGAATAATTTTTTGACAAATGTTACAGCAGATAGGATTTTTGTTGCTTTTGCTTAATTACATCTCACTGTTTTTTGATTCTTGGTACCACCAAGGGATTAAAATAGCGGTGTGTTGTTTTTCGGCTGCTAGAATGTATGATGAATCACTCTTGATTCTGAAGCCAAATTCTTGCTGATAGCATTGCTGCCAATTTCTGTGCTGTGTTGCCTTAGTATGGGCATTGCCGCGTCCGAGAATGTGCACAAAGCACATCAGAATAAAGGTGATCCCAGAGCTGCAGAGTGCACTTCAGGATACCAGAGGGCAGCTTCTGAGAGAGCTGGAAAAGGAACCAGCCTGCGAGTATAGTTGTTTGTAGCTAGACTTTTCAGTGTGCGTGAAAAGGGGGATCCCCGCCCCCCCCCCCCCCCCCCCCCCCACAGAGGGTCATATATGTCACTTCAGTTGAAGGGTAATAGAAAAAGTTGTCATTTGGAACAGACTTGAGTTTTCTGGCCGTACCTCAGCACATGGTATGGTAAGTCGTGTTTAATGGTTTAGGTGTGTTTTAAATGTTTGTGAGGTGATGAATGAGATCATAAAATACCCAAAGAAGGAAAAGAATTACGGCTTGCTTGGTATTTTTTTAAAAATGTGTCGTAGCTGTTATTTATTTATTTATTTATTTTGGAGATGAAGTCTTGCTCTGTCATCCAGGCTGGAGTACAGTGGCGCGATCTCGGCTCATTGCAGCCTCAGCCTCCCAGGTTCAAGCTGTTCTCCTGCCTCAGCCTCCCGAGTAGCTGGGACTACAGGCACGTGGCATCACGCTTGGCTAATTTTTGTACTTTTAGTAGAGACAGGGTTTCACCATGTTAGCCAGGATGGTCTCCATCTCCTGACCTCGTGATCTGCCTGCCTCGGTGTCCCAAAGTGCTGGGATTACAGGCGTGAGCCACCGCGCCCTGCCAGCTGTTAGTTTTTAAGCCAAAAATAAGATTACCAAAATGCACAACGTCCTTTAGAAAGGAAGGGGAAGCCATTATCTTTGTGGATTGCTAGATGTTGTGACTACCAAGATCTAACCTAGAAGTAACCGTATCTGTGACACCCATGACACCCATGACTGGGTCTCCTGAGAATGGGGGTGGGGCGAAGAGGGGGTCTGATTGATTGCTTCGCCTTGCAGGAGAATGAAGTTCTTTGCCCAGCCATTTTCCCTTGATACAAGCTCTTGTGTTAAAACTTAGGGGGAAGATTTGCCTCTGACTTTTTTTCTTGGAAAATGTGGGCAGCAATTTTAAAGAGAACGTGAAAATGGAGTAGGTTGAAGCCAACATTCAGAACTTCCTTTCATGGTTTGAAACTTAAAGCTGAGGAGGTTTGAGGGTGGAAGTGAGGAAGGGCTAGAAGAGAGCAAATTTCAGAGTCGTATCAGAGAATACGAACTGTCAGTTTCCAGTGTTCTTTTGGCTGTGCACAGCACTTCCAAGCCCCTTTGCCCACTGTTTTGCTTCTGCCACACCTAGAAGAAGATTCAGAGCTCGTAGAGATAAAGCATGCGATATTTCCAAGGCCTTCCCCTGTTCTGACATAGAAATTGAACTTTGTGACCATGAGGATTCATTCCAAGGCCCATGTGTTAACCTTTTGCTAGGGTTTGAACCTGTTATTAGTAGGAGCCTATGTAGTTCACTTGCTGTTGAGTCTAGTAAGTTATTTTTAAAAATGTCTGCCGTGTCACAAATAGAAGCAAATTATTCAGTTTCTGTTTTTTCCTGCGTTCACTATATCTTTCTTCTATATTAAAATAAAACTATGGTATTTTCTGATTTTATTCAGTTTGTATTAGTGTAAAATAAAGTGAATCTCGGTCATTTCTGGTAGGTGCCCATTTGAAATGTAGCCGTTGCTTTTATTTGCCTACTTTGTTTTCCTTGCCTCCGTTCCTCCCCTCCACACTGCCCTTGCCTCCAGCCCCCAAGGGGCTGTCTACACCTGCAGGCCTCTCAGGATTCAGCCTAGATGAGTAAATTTGATGAAGTCGTTTGTACTAACTCTGCTGGGGGTCATAACCTTTTTCCTGCGATAGGAGGGGTCAGTTTTTTTCCGGCCGTGTGGAAAGCAGAACCTTCTGACCTGCCCAGGAAAGGAAAACAGTGCTCTGGTGAGAGGACGGACCCTGACCAAGGGCGCTGGGCAAAGGAGCCGCGCCGTAGAACGGCATCTTCCAGGGATGTTTGTTTTCCCCTTAAAGAGAATCTGGAAGGTGCTGAGTAGTAGGCATAGTCTGAGGCAACTTGAATACTAGTTGAGTGTTTCAGTGAACTCGCGAGGGGAAACAAAACAAATTCACCCTGTGCTCGGCTGTGGGTTAAAATAACCAATAGTGAAATAACGTAAATTGGGGACTGAGATGTACCGTGCAGGTAAAGGGATTTAAAGTGCTCCCCTGGGCTTTCCCCGCCTTCTGCTTCCAGTCATCCTACCCACCAGAGAATTGTGCCATCTTTCTGTGTTATCCTAACAGACTACATTTCTTATCTCTCTGAAGATGCATCATTCTCTCTCACGCATCTTTTCATATTTTCTCTGACATTTATTTCCATTTTATTTTAGTTTCATATTTTGCCCTTGTTCTCCTGGTATGAGTGAATTCTTTTGTATTGTTTTGTTTTTCACTTAAAGTGACAAAACTCACCTCTTTTACTTCTGGTCCTCAGGTATTTTTTTCTTCTATTCTGATACTCTTCATTTTTTAAATTATTTCAAGTTCCTTTCATTTAGTTTGAATAATTTTTGCAACAGAAAAACAAGGAAAGTATGAATAACTCACGAAAAACAATTAGGATGATTGGATCAGCCGGCTGTGCAAAGGACAGGATGAACAGTTGTGATTGCAACAGTGAATTTTTTGTGTGTTTTTAAACTAATAGATTTCACTAAATGGCTGTTTTGGAAGAGGAATGCGCATTTTTTTCCTTTTTTACCTTTTTTAGCTGATTCAAAGATACAATTATGTGCCATCACAGATTAAGGAATGTTTTTACAAATATATACATATAATATAAAGATTTAGTAATCCTTTAATCAATATTCTAAAGATTAGAATGTATAGTAGAATAGTCTTTTATGAAATAATATACTTATGGAAAATATATGACTGGGATATGATTCCTTTAGAGGAAGAAAATTTCAATTTTCAGATTCAGAGGAAGCACTCTTCCTAGTCGGTACATATCACAAGCGGAGAGCGAGTTTTACAGCCCTCATTTCAGGTCTTCAGTAAGCGTGTATGATGATATCAGGAGTATTCATTGGCTCAGTTTCAAATCACTGGAAATTCAGCTGTGGTAAGGTTGGCTATTATGTGTATTAGCGTTTCCAAGCGCGTGGTCTCGGCTGGGGTGAGATTGTCAGCTCTCTGTTAGGATTAGTCACAACGAACACGGTGCAAATGGTTTCCAACAACAGTGCACTTCAAGGTTACCTTCATAATTCTTTTCTGCCAGAACCCAAGAAACAATACTCTTGAGTTCTCAGTGTTCAAATTGTTAAAAGTTTCCTGAAATTTTCTTTTACATACTCAGAGTGAAACATAAAGATCTAGAAGGATGGTTGTGAAAAGTGTGGACCTTATAGTATGTAGTGGGCATTTTCATTGAGGCCAAATGATAAATTCTGTTTTCCAAATCTGTAAGGGGGAAAAAAACCCAACTATTTTCCTTGTTATAATATATTCCTAAATTCTAGAGTATTTTTACTCTACTTTTAGTTCATTTGTTCCTTATACATACTTGACTCTGAACCAAAATCAATGATAATCTTAGTTTGAATGATAATTCACAGATTTAAAAAATTGTATGTAAAATCCAATTTGGTTTATGCATTTTTTAGCATTTATTGTTCCTTTTAAATTTTATATATTGTAAGAGAATACTTTTATTACAGTACTGATATTCAGAATGATAAAGGCAGGTGCAAATTTTAAACTATCTAATAAAGTACTGCTGTGTCTGTCTTTTGTGACAAAGGCATATTTTGTGTTCAGTTTATGATTTCTGAAAACGAATGTTAAGACTAATAAAAATTATTTGGCTCTTTCTTGGACCCAAAAGAGCAGATGGTGACTGCGGTAGGCTTGACTCCAGAGCCATCAGCACACAAAGCTTAGCAAAATGGCACAGAGTGAACCTACGGAGTGCTGAGCCGAGGGTCCCTTCGCTTTGTAGGAACTACCCCGCTTTCAGCAAAATAGCAGGCTTAGGCAGCCAGTCTTATGCAACTGAGGCAACACTGCCGTTGAGTGCTTTCCCAGGCGTTGGTGCCCTTGCCTGTTTTTGAGAGTGCCATTGCTCTGTGAGAATTCATAACTAGTCTACATTTATA